GGGCAGCTGAGCAAACATGAATGGCTGGGAGTAGCGCTGTGCTAAAGAGGGAGATATGAAAAGGGAAGGATAGTTCAAATTGCTCAGTCTTTAGGCAGATATGAAGGATACCCAATGAAAGTGAGAAGACAAATCCCTATTATTGTGATAATATTGTGTCACTATTATAAAAAGACAGAGGCCAGTCCAGAATTGTCTAAGTAATTCTGTGCACCTGAACTAGTAAAGGGGTAAGTACTTATGCAATTAACAAGTTTTGCAAAGGCCAAATTTAACTCCTTTCCCTCATGAATGTATTCAGTTTGGGCATTCAAGTTTTGATTTAAATAGTTCACTTAAAATGTATGCATTACATTGTAAGTCAACATAATGGGACACAATTTGAAAGGGTTGTATGCTTTTGCAAAGCACTGTGTCACAGTCTCCTCCTTGCAGAGTTTAGAGGTGTAGATAGAAGATGACAATAACGATGGCACAGCCACAATTGCAAAGATGTGCAATGTTGTTTATTATGAGGAACTACGTTCCCAAAGTCAACACCCAAAAAAAAACAAAGTGAAAACCACAAAGTAACCAGAAAAAAAACAACACAAAGCTATAATACGAAATATATATACATTAATTACTGTACAAAAAAAACACAAGATTGTTGCAGGTAGCTCCAATTCCACCCCCACAATCCACTTTCTCCTAACTCCCCCCTCCTAATTTGAAGTGCTCCTTTTCTAGGTTAAACTCCTTCCCCTAGAATATTCCACTATAAAGCACAAAAAATAATTTGACAAAACAATAATCAGAATTCTGATATAAACATTTCTATATCAATTACACAATTAAACAATGAACATATTATCCAAAATAAAATATCATACTCCTTTTATGTACATAACTGTTGTTTAAGCAAATACTACCCCCTTTTAATGGTATATTCGTACAAATCAATCCATGCATGCGCAATCCTGAAACAGGCACTACTAAGCCAGCCCCTGTTGCCATGCCAAAGTTTGGGTCCTATAGATTTGTGAGGCAAACCATTTTACCAGTGAGAAATCCAAACAGCTTATTTATTTGAGATGCTTGAGTTGATTACCAATTCAGTTCATTTCACTTCTAAAACAAAGGAAAACAGGTGTTTGGTTTAAGTTAATGATTACATTTGATAGTACAGGGAACAAGCTTACTTTAATCTATGTGTGCACCCACAGAACAAGCAAAGCTATCCCTGTAATTCCAGACTAGTGTGTTTATATTGAAAACCAGCATTATTGCCTTTGTTTAGATAGTGAAATGTTTACGTATGTGTGTGTATGTGTTCATGTGGCTACCTCACGAGTGCCAGGTGATCTGGAAACGGAGTTTCCAGTCACACACTGTATATTGTATACCAATATAATTAAAAGTACAATTAAAAGTAATATGCAATATATTACACAGTAAGAAATCAGCATAAGATATACCAAATATAGAATACAGTATGTGTGATGAGATATTACAATGTGATACATCTCCTCAGAAAAAGTTTAAGCAGACTTTCAATTAGCATTTAATCTCACATAGAGCGTAGTTTGAAAAAGCCATATAGACATTGCATGATGCAAACAGATAATATGTATATTAATTGTACATTTATATTATATAGTAATATAACCATTGTAAGTGGCGAGCACATGGTGGCACGGACAGAGATGCGACTGAGCCCGCAGGGTCGACGGCCGCGAGGGCGGCCCAAGAAGCGGTGGATGGATCGGATCACAGAAGACATGTGGAAAGTGAACGTCACCCCGGAAGACACCTATGACCGCGCCAAATGGTGACGTGCGTGCCGACAAGCGGAACCTGCCGATGCGGGAGTAACACTAAGATAAAGAAGACTAATATAACCATTGTACAACTTTAATAATGCAATATATTTAATCTCTTAAGCATCAAATAATGTTTCATAGAAATGGAATACAAAGGTTTGTACTACACAGGGCA